GCTCCATAAGAGGTGTCTCCAAAAAATATGTTTGTGTGAGACATCAATAAAAAGTATCTCTCTATATATATATATATATATATATATATATATATATAAATTAAAGATATGAACTTTTTCTTTTCGCCAATTTTTCTCCTGTCGTCTAAATCATCAATATTTTATCCCATTTGCCGTTAAATATGAGGGAAAATTGGTCATTTCATATATTAAAAGTAATTAAATACTGAAAAATAAAATACAAACTTTTAAAAATTGAAATAATAATAATAATAACAATAAACTAAAGCAAAAACAAAAAGGAAAAAAACCCTACCTTCTCTTCTCTCTCTCTCTCTCTCTCTCCCGTCTTTATCCCTCTCTCTCGGCGAGGTTGCCCATGGTCCACCCAACCCTGTTGCCGCTACACTAACATCAATTTGAGGACAAGTACAAGAGTAGGGCAAGTAAGATGAATAAAAGATCCTATTTAATTAGGCTAAAATGGTGATTTGAACTTGTACCTAATTTGATCCCATATCCCTTTTTATATACATAGAACTAAAGATATTTTTACCAAAACAAAAAATAAATAAATAAAGATATGAACTTTTTCTTTTGGCCAATTTCCCCCATATCGTCTAAATCATCAATATTTCATCCCATTTGCCGTTAAATATGAGGGAAAATTAGTCATTTCATACATTAAAAATAATTAAATAGTGAAAAATAAAATACAAATTTTAACAATTAAAGAGGATGTGTATGACTAGGAGGATTTAGTAACAGACCCACAACAGACTTAGAGTCACATTCAACCTCCACACTTTGAAACCCAGCTTCCCAAGCTAAATGGAGCTCCCAAAAAATTCCCCATAACTCAGCCTCAATCACTGACCCAACACCCAAATTAACAGAAAAACCTTTAATCCAATTACCAGCATGATCTCTTAACAGACCCCTAGCTCAAATGTAACCAAGAGCATGCTTATGACTACCATAAGAATTAATCTTACACCTCCCTGGCAAATGGGCTTGCCAATGAAGATAAACTACACCTTGATGAAGAGGAATAGAGATAGACTTGGTGGCTGTAAGCCAATCCTTAACATACTGCAGAATCACCTGATGCGGCTCAGAGGGAAGCAAAAAACCATGTTAAAAAATAAACTTACATCGCCTTTTCCAGATGAACCATAGGCTAACAGCAAACACCAAATTCCAAGCCAAACCGGTCATAAAAGATCTCTTGGAATGCAGATTATGGAAGAGCCAATCATCAAAATTAGGTTACAGACCACTGGATTCCTCAAACCAACTACCAAACTGGTTCCAAATTAAAAAGGAAGAACTACAACCTTTAAACAAATGCTCAACAGATTCAACAGGATAAATGCAACGAGGACAAGAAGTAGAAACTGCCATACCTCTACGATGCCTTTGAGCATTAGTAAGGAGCTTTTTGTGACAAAGCACCCTTAGGAGGCAGCTGCAACCTCCAAATAAACCCCCAATGCCAATTAGAACCAGCCTCAACTGGACAAAAAAATTGGTAGGCATATTTCACAGAAAATTTACCATTAGAAGTAAACCTCCAAATGCACATATCAGGACCACTATCAATGAAGCCAGCATGAATACTAGTAATCATGAACACAATATTAGGAGGAAGACACTCTTGCAAGCAAGCAATATCCCACAAACCCTCCTCCAGAAAATCACTCACATTCAACTGGAGCATTTCCTCAGACAAATCAATGAGGGCATAATTTATAAGAGCACCACAACTCAGCCAAACATCAGTCCAAAACAAAATGGAATCACCAGAACCTACTCTCCATTTAACATCAGAGGGAAGAAGCTTAGCACCAAATAACACACCCCTCCTGCTGCTAGAGCAATTACGAAACTTATGCTCATTAACAGACAACATATCACAGTTTTTTAAATATTTAGCCTTAAGAACTTTGGCCCAAAGCCCTTTGTCATTATGAAGAAGTCTCCAACCGGATTTAGCCAATAAAGCTTGATTCATCCAAGCAGCCTTTTTCACTCCCAAACCACCAACACATGTAGACTTACACACAGTTTCCCAGTTCACAAGATGCACCTTAACCTTATCAAAGGCATGCCCCCAAAGAAAATTCTTATTTAACTGATCCAACTTGGAACAAACAGAAGCAGGCAACATAGCAGTTTGCATAGAATAAATAGGAATAGCTGAGGTAACTGATTGCAATAACGTGAGCCTGCTAGCAATGGACAAAGTGTGGCTTTTCCAAGAAGAGAGGCGTTTTTGGACTTTATCAATAATTTCCTAATAAGTATCTTTGGTAACTCTAGTGTGAATTAAGGGAACTCCAAGATACTTACCAAGGTTATCAGATAAAGGAGAACCACTAATAGAGGCAATATTCTGAGCCAAACCAGGACAAGCATTAGGGGACACGCAAACCATAGACTTTTCAAAACTGACCTTCTGACCAGAAAGGGAGCAAAAATCATCCAAACACTGCTCAATAGAGGCCTTCCCGAACAAAACCAAGTCATCAGCAAAAAATAAATGAGAGATAAAGGGCCCTCCTTGGCAAATCTGCACAGTCTTCCAACTTTGGTCAAGAACTTTCTACTGAATTATATGGGAGAGCTTTTCCATACATAGAACGAAAATGTAAGGAGAAAGAGGGTCTTCTTGTCGTATACCACACTTAGGAGAGAAATCAGCTGTTAACTCACCATTTAAAATAGCTTTATAATGCACAGAACTAATACAATGCATGATGAGCTCCAAAATTCTCCCCCCAATACCAATTTCACAAAGAACCTCTTTAATAAAAGACCAACTTAAACGATCATAGGGCGTGGAAAGATCAATTTTCCAAGCAATAAAACCCTTTTGACCTTTAGCAACCTTGAACTTATGAAGCATCTCCTGAGCAATCACAATATTATCAACAATATGTCTCCCTGGCACAAAACTGACTTGAGTGGGTCTAACAATTTTACTCATAATAGGACGAAGCCTAGAAACTAAAATCTTAGAAACCACTTTATAGAGAGTATTACATAAACTAATAGGCCTAAGTTGAGCCATATTAAGAGGCCTTTCAACCTTAGGAACCAAAGCAATTAAAGTATCATTAAGGTGCTCAGGAAGAGAAGCTCTGACAAAACAATCCTTGACAAGAGAAATGAGCAAAGATCCCAATAATTTTGATAAAAAAGAGCAGGAAACCCATCAGGGCCAGGCGTTTTCAACCCACCAATAGCAAATAAACTACTTTGAATCTCCACATTAGAAACCTCACCATTTAACCTTGTGCAAACAGAGTGCTCAAGCTCAGGAAAATACTGGGGAAGTAAAGAATACTCACCAGATAAAGTAGGCTCACTAAACAGCCCTTGAAAATAGTGAATAACAATTTGTTTCATACCTCCTTTCTCAGAAATCCACTCTCCAGCATCATTAGTCAACCCTTCCAATTTATTCCAGCGACTTCTAATAATAGTAGAAAGATGAAAAAAAATTGTATTCCTATCACCTTCCTTAAGCCAAGTGTTTCTAGATTTTTGCAACCAAAAAACCTCTTCTTGATCAAGGATGCGATTATGCTCTGTAGTCAAATCAGTTTCCAACTGACTAAGGAAAGGATTAAACTGCATACATAAGCTTCTTTGAATACCAGCAAGCCAAGCCAAAATCCTTCTTTTCTTTTGAAAAAGACATCCAAACACCTGTTTATTCCAACGTTGAAGAGGCCAAATAAGACTAGGAGGCTTCTGAAAAGCATTTCCCGTACCAGAATTCCACAAACCAGAAAGGAACTCAAAAAAGCTAGGATGACTTAACCACATTGCTTGGAATCTGAAAGGCATAGATTCTGTAGTAGGAAGATGGTTGGAAAAGAACTTAACCATGATAGGACAATGATCAGAATTCACTCTCGGAAGGTGAGAAAGGTGAGCTTCAGAAAACAAGAATCTTCAATCAATATTACAGAGACCTCTATCAAGCCGTTTCCAAATAATATCCTCTTCACCCCTTTTATTACACCAGGTAAAATTAGTGCCAGAAAAACCCAAATCAATAAGATGATTCCTATCAAGCCACTCAATAAAATGCTGACCACCAACATCAAAATTACCACCAAGCTTCTCATCACCACAAACAATATCATTAAAATCCCCAAGCAACAACCAAGGTAAATTACAAACAGCAGCCAACCCATCAAAATACTTCCAAAGAGAGGTTCTCACATTAGAACATGGACTAGCATAAACTACTGTTAGCAACCACCTCTTAGCATCCATAGTAACTAAAGCAGTAATGGTTTGACTCGAATGAGCAACAACATGTAAAGAAACAAAATTACCATCCCAAAGAAGCCACACACCCCCAGAAAAACCAATGGGATCCACAATATGATAATGGGAAAATCCCAAACTCTTTGCAACAGAGAGAGCTCGAGAACCACCAATTCTAAGCTCAAGCACAGCAAAAACATCAATACCATAAGCTTTTTTTAAGTCTCTAATGGTACTGGCACACTCTACCTTGCCAACACCACGCACATTCCAAGAAACAATTATCATAAAAATGATATGTAAAAAGATGACAAAGAGAGGGAACACCTCATCAAAAAGCACCCTGCTCAGCCTCAACATCGAAGGCATCAAAATCAATCGACATACCAGCCAAATCAATCGCATTACCAACAGAATCATGCTCATCCTCACAGGAACCACTAGACTTACCTAAATGAGACTCACCCTCATTCAGCTCCATCTGACCAATATCAGGAGGCTTTGGTTCATGCACCACCACTTTAGCACCCCGAAAATCCACAGGTAAAAAGGTAGCATCCAAATTAAACGAGAACAAGCCCTGAACATCATCTTGCACATCAGAGCCTCGAACTTGCATACCCACCGCTCCAACATTTAAATTACTACGAGTATGCCCACCCCTAGCCTTCCCAGTGCTGATAGACCCAACACCAGGCTTCAAACCCACAGTACTGTTCTTCTCCAACTTAGCATTAGTAATGTCTTTCAAAGGTTTTTTGAAAACCCACACCTTAGAATCCTTAGCAAGAGCATTTCTCTTCCCAACCTCATTTCTGTTACTCCCAGTAGACTTAGCAAAACCACTAGCAGGGGTAGCCACTTGCTTAATAGGCTTACTAGCCTCATACTTAAAAGGATTCACAACTTGCTCATCTACAGCCTCTTAAGTAACATCATTGTCCAAAATAGCGAATCTTGTACCAGAATAGGCATTCTTAAAACCTCCCTCAATTTGAGATGAAGCCTTAGTAGAATTAACACTAACAGATCCTTGTTCCTTATGAAACTTCTTCTTAAAATTCTTCTGCTGCAACAACATCCACTGACCATGAAGCTTCGTAGAACTCCCCTCACCAACCTTTTCAGGACTAAAAGCATCCAGATCATCCTCCTTAGCAGGAGTGTTAACCTCCATATCCTTAGCATTTTCAGTTTCAGCAGCCTGAGCCTTGGCTTTCAAAATAACATGACAATTATCCCTACCATGCCCATAGCAGCCACATTCAAAGCAAACCAACTTAATCCCTTCATACACAACATCATAAGACCGACCTTCAACTTCAATGAAAGGAACAAGAGGCTTTGACAAATCAAGTTCAACACAAATTCGTGCAAATTTACCTCTCACTTGGCTCATAGTGAGAGCATCAACCTTGACAGTATGACCAATCAGATTGCCAATTTTCCCCATAACATCCGGTCGAAAATACTCTACATTGAGACCATTGATTCTGACCCAAGTCGTCATGTGTGTAACACACTCCTCCTTCATATTAAACCCAGGCTTCCATTGTTGAGTCACAAGATACTGACCAGCAATTTGCCAAGGGCCACCAGTAAGCACATACTGCATATCCTCCTTAAGCAAAAACTTAACAATGAAATAATTGTTTTCCAAATCAATCAAACTCATCGGACCCTTCATAGCCCAACGTTGAAGAAGCCGAGCATGGAGCAAATTATAAGTCAACGGACGACCCATAAGCTTGATGATTACAGAAGTTCTCCAAGGACGATCCAAACAATCCTTAATTGATTCAGATAATTTAATGGACTGGATATCCCCATCCATAACCACACAATCACCATCCCCAATAATCAGATTATCTTCGGCCATGCCAGAGAGACCAGAAACCTTGTCTTTAAAACTCATCAGCAAAAGAGGCACGGGAAAAGAAGAATGCTCACCACCGCTACCTCCAACATCACACATCTTATGGGTACGAGCTCGTTTCTCACCAATACACACTTCATCTTTACCAGATCCACTAGATCCAATAGAAAAAATAAAATTCGGCATCAGAACCGCCACCGTGAACGGTGGTACCAACCACTAGAAGTAACATAAGCAAAAGGCCAGGTGCGTATATATTTATTTGCAGCTTGCTTCCTCCATTGTGTTTATATATTTACTTGTTTGCTTGGGCATGACAGTTAATGTGACAAACTATAGTTGGCACTGGATGCTAGAGACATGGATGATTTCCTTTCTTTTTTGTCTTTTAGATTGCCTCTTATATTTCGACCAAAAACAAAAGATTCCCTCTTATACACAATACTATACACTTTGGATTTTGGTCAAGGACTTACACGAGTTTTATTATTATTATTTTAAGTATGCTCCTCCACCTCGCGATAATAGTTTTTGAATTTTGCCTTTTGGCAAAAATATATTGGTAATATTTCGGTACATATTGTTGTCGTTAATGATATAAACATATTATTATTCCTGACATATCGACAATATAAAATTGAACGTCGTGTATCTCACCAGACTACAAAACCCAAAATGCTTAACCCTCTAGTCGCAGAACTAACATCATTTTAAGGACAAGTACAAGAGTAGGGCAAGTAAGATGAATAAAAGATCTATTTAATTAGGCTAAAATGGTGATTTGCCTCCTAAACTTGTACCTAATTTGACCCCATATCCTTTTTTATATATATAAAATTAAAGATATTTTTACCAAAACAAAAAAAATAAATAAATAAAGATATGAACTTTTTCTTTTGGCCAATTTCCCCCATATCATCTAAATCATCAATATTTCATCCCATTTGCCGTTAAATACAAGGGAAAATTGGTCATTTCATACATTAAAAATAATTAAATACTGAAAAATAAAATACAAACTTTTAAAAATTGAAATAATAATAATAATAATAACAATAAACTAAAACAAAAACAAAAACAAAAATAAAAAAAAACCTCCCTTCTCCTCTCTCTCTCTCTCTCTCTCCCCTCCTTCTCTCCCTCCCCCCCTCCCTCCTCTCC